TTTTTCATTGCTTATCAAGCCAGAATTACAAAGCGAAATCTGGAGCTATTAATATTGAACTCTCCTGGAGGTGAATCCTTAAGAAAAATACCCAAGACAGAGCAATTCGTCGTCGTTTGTTCACCCTTGTCGATGAAACGTAAAATTAGCCGCAATTTTATGTCGTAGTAGTACAGTGACGGCAAAGAAATCATAGGACCAAAGAGTGAGCTGCACGTGCAAAGTTGTTGTTTTTCCTTCAAACCTATAATAATTGCTTTTTTGACGTTCTCGTCGCCGTCGCCTTCGTGACATCTTAAACTCCCTAATATCGAAAATATAACCGTAAAACTGCATTACGAAAAATAGTAATGGTAATGATAATGATAACAAATGAATAAGTTTTTGTTGGTGTATTGGCGTTTTCTTTTTGCAAGCATTCCTGCAAGACAATATATACAGGGCAAAAAGCTAAAAGGTTATTAGCTTGAATGTTTAATACGTGCTTACACGCCAAAAAAATATGCAACAGCTTGTACAAGTTCTGCTCAGGATTTAAAAAAGCATTACCATAAATGATCTAATCTTTAATAGACGCCCTCTATCAAATAAACACCTCTAGTCTTATAAACGCCCCATCTACGCTTTTAAATTTGTCTTAGATCACGCCCCTCTCTAATAAACGCCCCCTGTCTAATGGACGCCTCGCTTGACAATTTCTCCAGAATACTAGGAAATAGAGAAATCGAGCAAATTCTATTCATTTTTTTGCTTGATTAATGAGAGTTTGCTCAGTGCATCTTGTTCGATGTCAAGTCCAAGGTTGAGCTTAAAAAGACAACTTAAACGACATACTTCTGCAAACGGCTGAGGCGTACGAATGGATGGACTTAGATAGTCTATTGTTTATAACTGTGGTGATATATTAGTTTTGTGGAGTTTAATTTGTTACAGTTATCATGATACTAAAAACGCCTCTCTCTTTTACACCGACAAATTGCAAGTCACTTATGTTGACAACCCATGCATTAAAGGTAATAACGCTAAAAATTAAACCTGTTGACACAAATACGGATTAACCTTGATCTACAAACGCAATCATAGAATAAGCTAGAAACAACCTACAAAATATTTTATAGCAAACG